CACAACAGAGAGTCCCTGATGGAGCAGGAGAAAGGTGGGGTGCAGAACTCAAATTCTAGTAAGAAGACCAGACTTAATGGTCTGACTGAGACTGGAGAGCATGGCCCCTGGATTCTCTCATCAGCCCAGAGCTAAAATAATTTCTGCGGCCAACTCTTCAGACAGGGATTGGACTGGACCGTGGGACAGAAAGTGATACTCGTGAGGAGTGTGCCTCTTAGCTTATGTAGAGAAAGGAGACTAAACAGGCAGCTTCTGTTCAGATGTAAGATGGGGAGGCATAGAGGATTAAGAGGTGGTTGAATGGACATGGGAAGTCGGGTGGAAAGGAGGAATGTGCTGTCACAGTATAGGGAGAGCAATTATGGTCACATAACAATGTATGTGTAAATTTTTGTATGAGAGACTAAATTGAAATGTAAATTTACACTTAAACTACAACATTAAAAAAATATATGCAGATGACACAACTTTGCTTGATGAAAGTGAAGAGGATTTGAAGCACTGATGAAGGTCAAAGACGACAGCCTTCAGTATGGATTACACCTCATCATAACGATAACAAAAACCCTCACAACTGGACCAGTAAGCATTATGATAAATAGAGAAAATAATTGAAGTCGTCGAGGATTTCATTTTACTTGGATCCACAGTCAACGTCCACAGAAGCAGCAGTTAGTAAATTAAATGCCGTATTGCGTTGGGCAAATTTGCTGCAAAAGACCTCTTTAAAAGTGTTAAAAAGCAAAGATAGCACTTTGAGGACTAAGGCACGCCTGACCCAAACCATAGTATTTTCAGTTACCTCATATGCGTATGAAAGCTGGAGAACGAATAAGGAAGACCGAAGAAGAATTGATGCCTTTGAATTATGGTGTTGGTGAAGAATATTGAATATACTATGCACTGCCAGAAGAACAAACAAATCTGTCTTGAAAGCAGTAGAGCCAGAATGCTCCTTATAAGCCACACTTCGTCTTAAGTACTTTGGGCATGTTATCAGGAGGGACCAGTCCCTGCAGAAGGACATAATGCTTGGTAAATTTAGAGGGTCAGCAAAAAAGAAGAGCCTCAATAAGGTGGATTGACACAGTGGCTGCAACAGTGGACTCAGGCATAACAACAGTTGTGAGGATGGTGCAGGACTGGGCAGTGTTTCGTTCTGTTTTACATAGGGTTGCTGTGAGTTGGAACCGTGATGGCACCTAAGAACAACATCTTTGCTATTAATTTAGATGTAATGAGCCTGGTTAGCTGGTCTAGATCAGCAGAGTAGAAACAGAAACAGCAAGTTAGAGCAGAAGAAACGAACTCACGGTAGCAAGTAATGACAGTTGACAGTGTGAGAAGATAAGAGAGGAAACTAGAAGCAAACCTAGGAGCCGAAAAAGCAGAGCAACCTGGGGCCCGTTAGGATAAGAAAAGACGACTAGCTCTGTAATCCTGGTAGCTCTTGAGCCTAAAGATCCCATGTTTTCATTATCCTCTGTGTGTGAAATAATATGCAAGTTATAAAATTCCATTTAGGCATTTGTGGTTAGGTGCCATTGAGTCAATTCTCATAGCGACCCTATGTGACAGAGTAGAACTTCTCCCATGGAGCTGTTGGGTGGGTTTGAACCGCCAACTTTTCAGTCAGCATCGGACCACTTAACCATTGTGCCACCAGGGCTCCTTTTTTAGGCATTTAAGCCTAGAAAATACTTTATATAGACTTGGTGCTCAATGAGGGTAAGTTTCAGAGAGCTGAAGAAGTATCTTAGAATACGAGTCCCAGTGATGCCAGACAGATGAAGCATTATTGCCTTTGGGCACAATGGAAGTGATTATGCTTGGAGGTTCAGCTGCTACTTGATGTTAGATCACAGACATTTTGCATTAGTGTCCTAGCTTGAGTGTATGATTAACTACCTAGTCCTGAGGGTGGGTAAATAGTTTAGCAAAGAGTAAGCAGGCCACATTGCCCTGCAGCCTAATACATAGCATTTTGTGGTCTTGGTAGTTTTCCAGAAGCTAGCGTTTGGGAGTGTTAGTCCCTGTTTGTGTTTTATTTTGACTTACTTGCCTTTGGGTAACCAAAATCATCACTGCCAGGGAGGGGACATAATCATTTTGGCTTAACTGAAAAGCATTGTACTTAATAGTTACATCAAGCAAAAAGCAACTGAAACTAAAATACTGTGTTTGTCCAGTGTTTCTTTCATTTATAATGGTTTAATACAAGGTAGCAGCCTGACCAAGATAGCAGGTCACATCTGCTAATATTGTCCACATTTTTTTTTTTAAATTTGTAATGCTAAAATAAATCTAGGGCCTTTATTTTACACGTTGGATGTTTATATTACTTCTAATCAAAGCATCAGGAAAGCCAGTTGGTTTAGTTATAGATTGCATGCAGAACTGATATTTTATATATTTGAGTGGCCTTTCTAAAGATCAGTTTGAATTGTCATAAATCTCCTATTTTGACACCAGCAGTTCTTACCCCTGAGGTATTAAATAGCAGGCATTAGTTGTTCAGCACATATCTCTTATTTCCATGACCTAGTTTTTTTTATAAAAAACTGTATTTATGTCTTAGGAGCCGTCCTTCCATGGAGCTTGTGCTCTGGAAACCTCTCCCTGAACTCCTTTCTGATAAGCCAAAGCCGTCAACTAATGTTAAGAACTACACAGGAGAGAGCCAAACTAAGCATGCAGCTGCTGGCACTGCCTTCCCTCAGAGAACTGAACTGTTTTTGGAACCACGGCAAACAGGGGTGCCTCTTTACAATAGTTTGGAGACAGCTGCTTGCACAGAAGAAGAGATGGAACTTTAGAAACCATTTTCTACGCTAAAGTTGTCAAATTTTAGAAGGTTCCTGTGTTCAGCCATGAGCCTACTTGCATAGTATAGGGACTTGAAGGTTTTATGAAACGGGTGTAATAATATCTCCACCTGTGATTTGGGGTGGGACTCTTCATTTTGGGTAGCTGTTTATTGAATTCAACTTTTTGCCAAGGAAGCTTTTCTCAAGGGAAAAGCCATTTCCTAAGGGGCTTATTAAAGAAATGTCACAGCCTCTACACAGGCAAGTATAGAAGCTGTATGAGTAAGGGTGACTTAAATCACCTATTACATTGTCTAAACCATTCAGACACTTGGAGAGTATTCTCCTTGGGATGAAAAAGTTGCATTAAGAAAGGATACACCTACTACAACTAACAGTTGATTCATAGCTTAGTCTGTGCACAGCTTTGTTTACAGTGGTGATTATATGTAATTGGTGAGGAGGAGGGAAGAAAGCAGTAACTTAAGCCTATTGTTAAGAAATTGAATGGGGACCCTAAAACTTGTATATTAGTTGTCAGTTCAATATAGCTGTATTGATTAAATAGCCAGTAACGTTGTGGCTCACCTCTTCGCCTCTGAAAATGCAATGAAAACACAAAGAAAAGGTTTTTCCTCAAAGCTTATTTGCCTTGTGCTACTGTTGCTCCTTGGTTTCCCCTGCATAATTGATAAGCCTGGTTATTCAGGAATGTTTACAACTTAATTAACTTTGAATGTTAGTTAAGATTGTGAGGTAACCCATGTGCAAACTGGCTATGGGAGAAGCATCCCTTAGTTAATCTTAAGGAAATTCTTGTCAGAGAAATGGATATTTTCTGGAGTAAAAGAAAAAAGTTGTACCTGTTTTAGCAAATTGAGTTTGTTTGTTTTACCTTAATTTAGAAAACAGTGAATGAATAATTAACTGAGAACGTATGGGTAAGTGACATTGAGATTTACTGAAATAGCCAATTTGCCTGGTGCTTAAACTGTTGTACAGTAAGGCTAAAAGTTAGTAGAGAATAGCTTCCTGCTACCAGGGAACCTTCACTTCTTGAATACCTACAGCAGGCTCAGGGTGTCCTTTGGGGATAACTAGGATTGAAGTTTTTCATTTCTCAGGAAGAGCTCTTCTGTGTGGACTCAGTGCAAAGTAAAATGACAATTTCTTTACTGCTACCAAATATCTATTATGACTTAAATGAGTATAATACTGACCCTTACATCACACAACAGGAGACCACTGCAGTTCTTTTTGTTTTATTTTATTTTCTGGGTTTCTTCTTGCTTTGTAGGAATCAGATACCTTGTGTAGAAAAAAATGGTTTATGCCAAGTAGAGGTGAATTTTTAGAAACCAGCTCCCAGACATCTTTGAAACCCATGCTGAAATCCCTTCCCTTGTTACAGATGGCATAGGAGTCAGTCACAAGTCTGTCAGTTGGACTTGTTTCTTCTCTTGGCCTGTTGTTCCTGCTTTCTCTATTTCTGTCTGGATAGTCAGGAAAAGATTTAATGTTTAATATTTAAACAAAATGTTTAATGTCTACACAGTAAAATTACATGAATTTCAAACCAGTATTGAAACACCAGTTGGAAACCAGCTAATAGTTTCTTAATCTCAGACTTAGAGATGAATGTAAACTGTATTCTGTTGAAATGTGCACGTGTTTGATTCATGCCGTTTGAAAAACTCCTGCCCTTGTGGTTGTTTAATGGGACCAACTTGTAAAGTGTGTAGCCTTACAGAAGTCTTCATGCTAAGAACTTTATTCTAGTATAACTCAAAAACATGAAGCAACTGTCCATAGCTGGGAGTTCATCCCAGTGCTAGGGTGGAAGGTGAGAAGAAAGCTTTCCAAAGAAGGGCCCAAAACATAACTGTGATTGTCTTCTATAGGAATTGTTGGGCAGGCCTGATCAAAGGTCTGTACGATTGATGGAAAAGAGGAAAGAAGGGCCAGTAACAAGGCTCTGACACTATTGGTAGGAGAGACTTAAGATTCTGTTAATTACCATCCAAACAGAACTTGTTTCAGGAGTCAAGTTATCTGATAAAATATTTATTTCTGCAGGAGAATTGATGTTTAATGCGCCTTTTTGACATTTTTCTGGCACATGTTTGTACAAAGATTGTTTTCTTCATCTTGTGGTGCTTAGTCCTCTGAGCTGTCTCCACAGTCCCAATACCTTTGCTTTGTTTTTCTTTCGTAGCATAGGGGTTTTGCTTTTGCCCTCAGATTTTCTTCCCAGGTCTCTTTCATTTTATACAACTTTTGCAGCATGGATCAAACATTGGCTTACTATGCTAATGTATGAAGAGAAAAAAATTATCTAAAGCAGGTGAGCTTTAATGAACAAATGTATATTTTCTCTAAGTTTGAGTAGGGTGTGTGTGTGTTTAATATGAGAAAGACTGGTTCTCACAAATATTAATTAAATAAAAAAAAACTGCTATTCGTTCTTAAAAAGATACAAATGTAAAATTTAGAAAAATTCCTAGGATAGGGGCCAGAACCATGAGAAGAGTTTTTACCAGCAAGTTTATTTGTTATTTTGGATCTGGAACTTGGTTTTTTAATAGTGACAAGAATGGTGCGGTAATAGGAGAGTTCTGGAAGATGCTGTCAGTTTTAATTTAAACTAAGAATTTGGTGTTTCTGTATTTTATTGTTTTCAATAAAACTTAAGTGTTTTGGACTTTTTGAGATATTTGTGTTCCTATACTTGAGTAAATGATATCAGATACCTCTTTGCTTTCTTTAAATTGTAGTTAAAGCAGCATTCGTATCAGTGATGGACTTATTTAAATTTATTCAGAGGGGATGATTATGTTAGGTTAAAGGTAAATTTTGTAAATTTGCTATTTCCAAAACAGACTGTTTTGCCATTCTAAAACCCACAGGATGCTTTCCACTCAGAGCAAGTCACTGCTGTTGATTTGTCAGTATTCAGATGGCAGTGGTGACTGCATCCTCAAAAATGGTCGAGTGTGGAGTTGGAAACGGCATATAGAGTTCACAGAGTGGGCCTTGGAACCTTTAAAATGAGGAATAGGGAAGTTATATGATGTTGTTTCATGATACTTCCTTTCTTAAGAGTTGACAGGTCACTGGGTGGCAGTATTGCCTGCGTATTTATAACCATGTTTTTGATAAATGTGGATCCCTGATTTGTTGAGCAGGGGGAGTTAAGTTTGGGTTGCAGTTACAGAATACTGTTGTGTTTTTAACCAGAATTTGAAAATCACAACTAAAGGTTAACCTTGTGTTTTTTTTTTTTTTTTTTTTTTTTTTTTACACATTTGGAAATTAAAGGCTAACTAGAGAGTGACATTGAGTATTATAATCCAACTCACCAGTTTCAGTGTTCTTTCCGTTTGACCCATTGGTTTTACAAAGTCTTTGTGGAAATACCTAAGGGTTGGTCATTCAAATTTCATTGAAAATTCACCAATAAAGTGTTGTTCAGGCATAGTGTATATCAGTGTGGTTCAAATCTTCTAGCCCCATTAATTCCCTGGTTCTTTGGAACACAGTGGCATTTTAGAGGTAAACTAGGTGTGGTTAGAATACAGTGTTTAGACTACAGCTCCAACAAGACAATAATGTGAACAACTGATTGGTGGGTAAACAAGCTACTCTTCTGTCCCTTAATGAACCTTAGAAGTCACAAGATAAAGGTTCAATTTTTAGAAGACTACAACTTGATTGATACCTTAAAATATTCCTGGAGGAGGCAGTGTTACCTTCTGCCCTCAGGTCTATCCCTACTTTGTCCCTGCTGCAGTAGCACATCTAGTAGAAAAGCAAGGAGGCAGACATAAATCGGTGTTGCAAGGCCCAGGGAAATAGTGTGCGGGCATATTGTCACCTCAATCTTTTATCTCAGTTGTGGAATATAATATACACTTAATGGAAATCTTGGTTTGCTTTTGGGGAAAAGGTCTTGATTTTTAGTTCTAACTATTCAATTTGTTGTTTCAACATGAAAATGTCCTTGAATACCAGGTGTTTTCTCAGGGCTAAGCACAGTGCTTAATTTTTACCCATCTGTACAGGAAATGAAAACCTCAATCATCTACACTGACTATGTATGTCCTGTGTGTTATTTCTGTTAGTACAGCTGCCTCTTTCACGTGATGTCATTGAATATAACTTGAGCCTCAGTCCCCAGATGTTTGTGCTTTTATAACCCAGAAACCAAACCCACTGCCATCAAATCGATTCTGACTCACAGCGACCCTATAGGGTAGAGTAGAACTGCCCCATAGGGTTTCCAGGGCTGTAAATCTTTACAGAAGCAGACTGCCACATCTTTCCTGGAGCAGCTGGTGGGTTTGAACCAGTGACTTGACCACAGTGGGTCTGGTTTTTTTTTTTTTAACAAACCCCAAATAGATTCTGAGCTCTTAAATTTTCAGTTACAGAAAATCAGGTGAGAAAAGGTTCTCAGTCATGGGGACAGCTGAAGGCAGTCCTTACATTTACAATACAGAAACTCAGCACCTACACGAGCACTAGGAGTGGGCTCTGGCTTCAGCAACTGGGACTTAAGAGTCTTTCCTGCCTTCAGGCCTGCTTGTGGACACTGGCTCCTCGTCACCATACCACACACATTCCCTTGTACTTGCCTGAAGCTATCGACTGGTTTGCCTTGCTGCTTGGGGTTCTTTGCATCCTGCTGCTTTTCATGTATTAATTCACATTGACTTCCCCTGAGGTAGTCTTAATAAATGGAAAAAAATGCCATTTCAATGCTAAATTGACAGAATGATTTCATCTGCTGGTACAGGTGAAATTCTATAAATGAGGAAAGTACTCTCTTGTAAAAGGATTCCCAATGAAAAGATCACCATAAAGGATGAGGAGGTTAAAGTCTGTTTTAGTGACTAAGAGATTAAATCCCTTCCAAAGTAGATTAGGTAGTTAACAGCTAACTTTTGAGTACTTGGGATAATGCCTCAGCAACCTTCAGAGATATTGACTATCAGTCTCCTTTACAGATGAGGAAATAAGTGATGTTATGTGCTCAGGGTTACCTGGCTAGCCAGTGGTAGAGTTGAACCCAGAGGGTCTGAATCTAGAAAATGCTTTTAATACCTACATAATCTTGGTATTCAATGGCATATCATTCTCTAACATTTATGGTATAGCAAATCAGCAGTGGTTAAGGGTTCCACCTCTAGATCAGGCAGACTCAGGTTTGCATCTTAGCTTTGTCACTTGCTGTGATTTATTGGTCATTCTGTGTTTTTCGGGTGAAGAGACTGTCACAGAAATACAGTAGCTGCTTAAAGAGTAGACTGTTACCACTTATCACAGCCAGGAATTGAAGCAGGCAGTAATGTAGGGGGAACAGCCTTCATTCACTTTTAATAGTGGCATGCTCACTAAAATGGAACAAATTATTACCATAGCAAAGAAGTGAAACTTCTAGAGAGAACACAGACTTATGTATGGCCCAAGAAAGAAAAGAACAAAGACACTGCATTGCACTTTTTAATTGCACAGGTAGTTTGAAATAAATGGAGAAAGCACCTTCCAAAATCTACAGTAGCAGGGAAAGATTCCATCAAGCATTCACATAGTAAATTTCTAGAATTTCACAGAAGATTCTTGATCTTTACTTGGACTGTACCTGAGGGAAAAGTCACCCCCTCAGGTAGGTGTTCTCTCCAGAAGCAAACTAAAAGGAACTAAAACTGGAGGCAAGCCTGGTATGCTGAGGAGGGGAAAGAGAAATGATGAAGGGCCGTTCATAAATTCCATGTCTACTTTAAGACACTTGTCCGGTGACCCTTACTGTCTCCTTAATGTCTGCATGGTTCATCTTGTTAAGTGTTTTGGGGCAAACTACTGCCCTTAAGATGAAGGTGCAAGCTCAAAAACTCTAGTTCTGAATTATTATATTTGAGTACCTTGGACTGCTGGATGTCAAAAATCAATACTCGGGGTGATCTATGAGGTTTGAATAGACAGATACTTTAGAGGAATTCTCTAGGACTGTACCCCCTCTCCTTTAGCTTTTTGAGTACAGACGGGCTTCTCTGTTATCCTCCAGGCAGTGATGTTAAAACGCAAGGGAAAGGGCAACAGTATTGGATCATTATTTAGACACTAATTAGCTGGGGAAAGAGTTCACTGGCAAAAGTGTCCTCCCAAGAATGGTCTACACCAAGTGGAGAGGACATGTCACTGAAGGGGGAAGGGGAGCCCTCATATCCACAGTCACTATAAGCATCCACCAGGCAAGAAGATGGCTTCAGGCAGTGGCTGGACGAAAACAGATTTGAGATACCCAGCTCTGGAATGAAGTCATCTTCTACAAGTTCTTCTTTCACTGAGATGGTAAATTCAGGGTGATCCTTCTCTGAGGGGCTGAGAGGTGCTTCCTCGATTTTCACTACCACATTAGCTTGGCTCTCTGTCTCAGAGGGTATCTCTAAGACTAGGGGCTTGGTATATACGTGGTCAAAACGAATTAGTTCATTAATGGCTTCCAGCTTGGCTGGTGACGTCCCCAGTGATGGAGAAGGGGAGGCTGGTAAGGAACTGGGTCCTTCTGGGTGGCCTTCTGGGAGCTCCTCCAGGCTGGTAGACTCTGGGGAAAGACAGCTGAAGAACATGACTGGGTCCATGTTATCCAGAAGGCCCAAAAGGATATCAGACTGTAAGAAGCAAAAATTAAATTGAGTCCAATTATCAGAATGCACTTGAGAATCTACCTAGAATACTCAGTACTAGGTTTCCTAATGTAAGTTAATCACTATGCTATAGGATGACCTCAGGACCCACCAGGCCCATTTATCCATCCATGCCTCACTCCATGTCCTAAATCACCTGGAAATAGGAAGGTAGTTGATGTTACCTTTAACCCCACCAAAACTATCTTCCCCTGCCCTCACCTGTCTGGTTAGGGATGTCTGGCCTCAAACAAGTGGCTTTAACTAGTTATACAGCTCCTTACTAAATCAGAATGATCCCTACCTCAGTGTCTGAAGAGTCAACACTGTCAGAATCCATGGGGAGATGTTCTGGAGGGGTGACATCTGGGCCTGCACCTGCTGCAGAGGTGCACGTAGTCTGAGTGCTGCGGACTCAGCAGACCCGGCCACCGGCCTCGCTCCATTCCCCTGGGAGAAAAGACCAAAATGAATAAGCAGCTCAAACAGCCCGAGTCCCTAAGGAAATGCTAGCTAGGCAGCTATGACTCTCAGTTTTCAAGAAAGCTAGGAAACGATTCGTCACCACTTCTTTAGAGCTTACAATTCTTGCCTTTACCTTTGTTTTCATTTTCTTAATTCCTCCTCAAGAAAGGCTTAGAAAATGCAAGTAAGACTAACTTTCCATTGTGGCTTTCTTTGCAGCAAAACAGTTTTCTATCCAATGCAAAGATGCAAAATTCTTAAATAATACAAATTATTCAAGACCAGACTGATACTCTTAAATAATATTCTTAATAAAGTTCTATAGCAAATTTCAGCTTAGAATCGTTTAGTTGTTTTATGTTCTTCCTGAACACTACCTTCACAGAGTAGAACTGCCCTATTGTCAACCTTAGACAGTCACTCAAGAGTTGTCATCAAATTTGCCATCATCTATAAAACTAAAGCCCATACATACATCATGCTCATCAGAGACCCGTCTTATCACAATGAATCCTTTCCCTACTCATTCATATTTATCAACTACTACAGTTCTAGTGGCACTCAAAGTCTGATCTGACTGTCTCTTATTCTGGTTCTCAGTGTCTGCATGGTTCATCTTGTTATCCATATTTGTTAGTACTTGTTCTTAGAGAGCCATGTAACTTAATTCTTAGGACTTATTACTGTTCATTACACACTTGAAAAATGAGTAAGTGTCATTAGAAAAGGACACCTTGCCTGCATGGAAATGTAATTAGCGCTCTAAAATGTAAACATATTCACAGAGTCATGTCGCTCAGAACTAGTTCTCACAGAAGGTACAAAATAAAGGAGATGAGTTACCTTGGTCTCCACCTCCTCTCCAGTAACCAAGGCATCCATCCCCAAGCGCTGTCTTAACTCCTGGTTCTCAACTATAAGGCCATGAGTTTTCTCTCTCAAAAGCTGATTTTCTAACAAAAGTTTTTGGTTCTGGAAGAAAGTTCATAAGAGACTATTAAAGCATCTAATTTTTTCACTTAAGAAGTCACCTGATAACAGTGTCACTACAAATGGTTCTCGTTCCTTCTCCTTGAACTTTTGGAAAACTATGCTAATGTAGTTGTTTATGGTAGGTACTAAAAGGGCAGGTCATAATTATGAAAAATAAGCTATTTAAGAAGTGCCATTTCACAGGGATCAAAAATAACACAATGCCTCCAGCTTCCAATGACAACCTCAGTAAAGCGTGATTTGTGGTTTAAGAGGAAATGAGCTAATTTTTGATGTTAAAAAAAATCCTGTCTTGAACTGGCAGGTAGTAATAGACATAGTAGTAGTGAAGAATAAATTAAAATATGGAAAAAACCCAAAACCAAACAAAAAACTGCTCCTGAAAGACTCTTACAAAACCATCTAGTAATTAAACTTCAAAAGCAGTATGACTGGGAGGTTATTGCTTAAGGGGTACTGAGTTTCTGTTTAGGTGGATGAATAACTTTTGGAAGTAGATAGTGAAGATGGTTGTGCAACATGATGAATGTAATTAATGTCACTGAATTTTATGTTTAAAAATGGTTAAGATTGCAAATGTTATATTTACCACAGTATATTTTTTTAAGTTAAAAAAAGTATTTCTTATGTATTCGGGAGGTGTAATTGACAACAACTGAAGATTAGATAACGGTAGGCCCTAGAAGGGGAAGGGAATGTTTAGCGAACTTTGGCCAAGCCAGGAAGGGTCTCAGGTTTAAGCAAGGATTTCCTATCTGCCCCTAATTTTTTAGAGCTAACTCGCTAAACATTCTTGAATTCACAACTTTTGAGAAAGATCCAGCATCAAATGCCAGGGATTCTGTCATAAATCACCTTGTTCTCTTCAAGTTTTACAACTTCAACAATTACCTATCTACCCTAATTTAAGTATTTAATAATTTAACTTGTAATTACACACACATACACAAACCAAAAACCAAACCCATTGCCATAGAGTCAACCCACGCTCAGCTGTATTCTCAAGAGGTTGAAACAGCGTGGGTTAGGCAGCAAATACCAGAACATTCCCCAAGGAAAGATTTATTTACAATGGATACAAGATAAAAGTTTGACCTTAAATAATTTTTACCTCTTCTTCCAAATCTACCACTTGTTGTTCCAGCTCACTCATTCGCGCTTTCTTTCGGTCTCTGGCAGTCTGAGCTGCTACTCTGTTTTTCAGTTTCCTGAGAACAGAAGAAGCACACCACACTGAGTCACCTCAAACCTTATTTATAACTTTATTTGAAAATTCGGTCAGCTGGTGCTTTCATTTTAATTTAGGGTTTAAATCAGACTACTGGTAAAATACACTTCAGGCTCCTCCCTCAACAAAACAAAACAAAAAATACAGCCTTCTGTGAATCTGGCTGGAAGATGTGCTGCGTTCTCCCCATACTGAGTCATCCACTTGTCTCATCCCGGCCTCGGCACAGGGGCTGGACACAAGGGCTATTCGTCTTGCATCATAAGAAACTTTCCTCCTCCCTCTCCCTTTCTCCTGCTGCTTCCTAACTCCAATTTTCCTAAACAGCATCCAACCTGGACTGATTAAATCTAGTAAGGCTGCAATTGGGCTCAGACATAACCTCCTCCCTTTCCAAATCCCACTTGGATAAGGGAGGGGCTGATGCTTTTCACCCCAGTGCTGAGATCCTAGGTGAGACCCCCTGATGGCTGGACTCGGATCTGCTCAAGGAGACCTTAATAAACCACAAACGGCAGCTACAATAGTTAGAAAAGCCCCTAACATTTACCGAGGTCTAAGGACTAGGTAGGGAGCCTTGGTTGGGCAATGGTCAAGCCCGCGGCTGCTAACCGAAAGGTTCTAACCCATCCAGCAGCACGGCGGGAGAAAGACCTGGCGATCTGCCCTCATAAAGTTTACAGCCTTATACTCTGTCACATGGGGTCGCTATAAGTTGAAAATCGACTCTGGCAGCCAACAAGTATTAGGCATATTATATACATGGCTCACTCAATGTCCCCAACCACTATAGGAAGTAGGTGCCATTTTAAGGACGCTGAGTTTGGCTGGTCAAAATGCCTTAAAGTTCTGTCATTTCAGTTCTGCGCCCCTCCACAAAAACAGGTAAACCAAGAAGAGGCTCGTCGACTCCATGTTACGGTCAAAAAGCCCAACTTCAGAGAGGCTGAGCGACCGATCTGCGGTCACACACCAAGAGCGCCTAGAACCCAGGTGCCCGCATCCTCTGCTCTGGTCATCTCCAAGCAGAACGGAAAGAAAAACAGCCTGAGCAGCCCTGGCCTCCACCCCGCACCGCGGATCTGGCCAGGCCAGGATTCCTGCCCTGCCCCGCCCCGCCCCGCCCCGCGCCACGCTGGCACTGGACGTGCCAGGCCGCGGGAGCCCTAACGCGGCAGCCGGTCAGAACCCAGCCCCCTGCCCTAGCCTCGGAGGCGGCCCAAGCTCCGGGTCCCGCGTCCTCTGGGTCCCCGCGCCGACCGCGGCCCCGCACCGCTGCCACCCACCTACGCAGCGCCTTCTCCTCGGGGCTCAGGTGCGTGAGGCGCTGTCGCTTGCGCGCCTGGGGCGGCCCCCCATCCGCCACCTCCGGGCTGGCCCCTCGCTGGCCCGGAACCATGAGCGACAGGGCCCGGTCGGCTGGGGCTCCAACGGCGGCGGCGGGGGAGGGCTTGCTGGAAAGAAGCAGCATCTTAGGGGCCCCGGTGGCCGGGCTCGGTACGCCTGCCACCACCACCATGGTCAGAGACGGTCTACGCGAGTGCGCGCTGCCACCGCCCACTGGGCCGCCCTCGCCGCGCCCAGGCTTTCTACGGTCGTGGCCCTCCGCGATTGGCCAGCTTCGCGTGACGCGCGGCAGAGCTTGGAGCCCATTGGTTCGGGGGGCCGGGCGGGGGCGGGGCCGGGGCGGCCCTTGTGGCCCCTGCTGTCCCCCGCCGGGGGTCAGGGGCATCTGCAGCGGGGGTTACCGGTGGGACCATTACAGGGGGCCGGGGTCCAGAGGCTTGGGGGGAGCCACAGGCCGGCCGGGGGCGGCCGGGGTGACCCCAGGCTCGCGCGGGAAGGGCCAGGACGAGCCCGAGTTTCCTTAACAAACGATCTTCCCCCTAGGCTGACGCATTTTTACCCGCAATAACGGTGAAATCCCAAAAAGACTGACGAATTTTTACCGAGGCTAAAAGATTTTTACTTTAGCCTGACACAGTTTTATTTCTTGCGCCACTTGAGGCCCGAGTGCAGCGGAAACTCGAGAGAGAGCTTGAATCGCGTCTTGGGTTAGAAAGAAGCCTGGAAAGAAATTCCTCGAAATAAGAGTCCTTAGTAAACGAGATCGCGCGTTTTAAAACTAAGTTTAGCACATAAACCAAAAAACCAAGCCCCTTGTGGTGGAGTGATTCCCACTCTTAGCAACCCTATAGGACAGAGTAGAGCTGCGCCACAGGGTTTCCAAGAAGCGGCTCGTGGATTCAAACTGTCAACGTTTTGGTTAGCAGCCGTAGCTCTTTAGCCACTGCACCACCAGGGCTCCAAGTTTAGCACATACCCGTTTCCGTCGAGCCGATCTCGACTCATAGCGAGCCCGTAGGACAGGGCAGAACTGCCCCAGAGGGTTTCCAAGGAGCGCTTGCTGGATTTGAACGCCGATCTTTTGGTTAGCAGTTGTAGCTGTTACCCACTGCGCCACCAGTTCAGCACATAGTGAGGGTTTAATAAGAATAGGTGTTATTCTATCCGGGTAATGGGAATCCATGTAATTTAATTTTTCTTTGCATTTCTAAACTTCCTGCTATGAGAGTATTTTAAGCAAAATCCACGTGTGAAAACGGGGAAGAGGGGTTACCCTCAGTCCTGTTGCCGGCTGGCCGGGAGATTCGAGGCTCGTGCCTGACAGTTACCGCTCAATGAGAGGTCCGTGCTTGTGAAAGAGGGGCAGTGAAGACGCAGCAAGACAGCAATTTAGACACAAGAATATTAAAAATGGAGAAACCCTGGAAAACATGCCAAATATGCATGTTCACTTTCTTGAAGCAACTTGCGAAATGTTAAGTTCCCTAGAATTACACAGAGCAATACTTTGTTTAGCAGGGAGTTATTGCTCCCTTCTTTGTTCTAGGCACTAGGGACGCACAGTAGTAAGACTCCATAGATGATAGTTGGAAGATATGTAAAAGGTGAGATGTTAAGACAGCAGCGTTCTAGATAACTCTCTGGTGTTATTAATCAAGTTAGGTGAAGGAGCCCTGGTGGCAAAGCGATTAAGAGCTTGGCCTGTAACCGAAAGGTTGGCGATTCAAACCCACCAGCCCCTCCATGGGAGAACGATGTGGCAGTCTGCTTCCATAAGGATTACAGCCTTGGAAACCCTATGGGGCACTTCTTCTCTGTCCTATAGGGTCACTGTGAGTCAGAATCCATGGTTTTCTGGTTGGTTTGTTTATTAAGTAAGATTAGCTCTTCAGTTGTATTTTAGTAGGGTGGGAACAGGATGGGAAGAAGGAACTAAAGCAATTGAGTTTCTTGATATCCAGACCCTTTGAAGGGACAGAGTTTCTGTTATTCCCAGGACCAGGCAATGAGTGTCCTAACATGTATTTTCTTCCTGGATGTTGGCAGAGAGAAATCAGCAACTATTTATTTAAGCTGGGCTGGCCCAGCTCAGGCTGTCCTGAGCACACACTGCTTCTGTGGGCTGGAAAAGGGAGTGGGAGTTCCTGCAGGACAAACAAACCAGCCTCCCTTTTAACTCTCATCCATCTTGAGCTGCCTGGTTCCTAACATACCTCCAGATGTCAGGGGGCTCACTCCTGGCTTCTTGGACTCTTGGGAGAAGCCTTTGTGCCTTCTGTTTGAGACGTCCATATTTATATTAAAGGACCTTGAAAAACTACAAGAGGCTCGGAGAAAAGTCATGCAATTATGTCATGCAACCTTTCATTTATTGAGTTCACATTTATTAACTCCAAGATAATTTCTGGCACTGTTTAAAAAACCCAGGGAAACGAAAAACAAAAAAAGGTAAAGAGTTTCGGCAAAAAAAAAAAAAAAAAAGAGAAGAAGAAGAAAGAAAATGCACAAGGCCCATATTAGTCCAGCAGGGTATAAATGAGGAACCGCGTGAAGGCACAAGATCCTGGGACAGAGGAGAAAGTCAAATGCTTGCATTTTGGTCTTGGCTGATGGAGAAGAAATGGAATGTTAAAATTGACTCCCCTAGCTTTGTGCCCAATGCTTTTATTTTTTGACCAACATTTTAAATCATACTAAAAAAAAAAAAAAACCAAAAACCAGTAATTTGACCCAGTGCAGATCACTTGTCCATGAAGTCTTGAACACTCCGAGTTCAAACCCTTGAGTGGTTTCATATCCTGTCTGTAAGATGAATCTGATAATTCTTTCAACAGATGCCATTAATATTTTAAAACATTTACTAGGTACCTATGATAAGGGCTATTAAGTATAGAAGATACAAAGTTCTTAGTCTTTGTGAAATACCAGAAGCAATGATGGGCAAACAAACTAGTGAAACATTGTTAAGTGTAAATAAATGTCAATGTACAAAACAAACAGACAGTAATGATCTGAAACTCAAATTCAGGAACTGGTGTGTTTGATACGGTAGCCACTAGCCACAAGTGTCTATTGAGCACTTGAAATGGGGCCAGTTCAAAATGAAATGTACTACAACTGTGAAATACATATTGGATTTGAAGATAGTACCAAAAAAAAAAAAAGACTGCAAAATATATCATTATTACTTTTTATATTGATTATAAAGAAGGAGCCTTGGTGGCACAACAGTTAAGTGCTCAGCTACTAACTGAAAGGTTGGCAGTTCAAACTCACCCAGCAGCTCCACAGAAGAAAGACCTGTTGATCTGCTTCTGTGAAGATTACGGCCTAGAAAACCCTATAGGGCAGTTCTACTCTGTCCCATGGGGTTGCTAGAGTCGAAAATCAACGTGTCAGCACCCAACGACAACAACATATTGATTGTAAGTTAAAATGAGAATGTTTTGGGTTGGTTGGGTTAAACTATCTTATTAAAATTAATTTCACTTATTTCTGTTTTTTTTTTTTTTTTTTTGGTGGCCCAGTGGTTAAGTGTTCAGCTGCTAACCAAAAGATCAGCAGTTCGAATCTACCAGCCACTCCTTGGAAACTCTATGGGGCAGTTCTATTCTGTCCTACAGGGACACTATGAGTCGGAATCGACGCGACCGCAAAAAGTTTACTAGAATGTGAAAAATTACCTACGTGGCTTGCATTATATTTCTACTGGGCAGCACTGATCTACATGGGAGATGGCACAGGGAAAGAGGAGCAAAGGAAGGGAAATAAAATCATGCTAGATTTCCTGCCTTTTTGAAGTGGGGTATGCAGAGGGTAGTTCTGCTTTGCACATGTGAGGTCGCCATGACTCAGAATTGACTTGATGACAATTTTTTTTTTACGCGTAATGATTAACCCTAGACATTATTAGAATATATAAGTGTGTTAATAATGATTTTAGGACAGGGGTACCCGTATCCCTCGAGGTGCACAATGACTTTCCAAGTCAAATGTGGATACATGGATAAAATCTCTTCCAAAATCCATGTGCCTGAGAACATGCCTCTGAAGCAGATTCTTTTTCCCATCTCTCTTTTCATAGTTGCTATTCTAATACTCTACAAAGGAGAGACCCTTCTCTCCCCCATACCTGTTGTCATTGTGATACATAGGGTTTTCATTGGCTCATTTTTTCAGAAGTAGCTTGCCAGGCCTTTCTTCCTAGTCTGTCTTAATCTGGAGGTTTTGCTGGAACCTGTTCAGTATCATAGAAACATGCAAGCCTCCACTGACAGATGGCGGTGGCTGCGCTGAAGGTGCATTGTTCAGTAATCGAATCTGTGTCTCCCACATGGAAGGTGCAAATTCTACCGCTGTCCCACCACTGCCCACCCCCATGCCTAGTCTTCCAAAAATGTGTTGTCCTGGGGTAGACAAACCTCTGGAGCACCAAACAAATAGACCTGTCTAGCTATTGGAGATGAAATTTAGAAAGGGAAATGACCCTAATCACTGAGTATCAAATCCCTTTCCAACTCCAGTGGTTCTAATTCTTTACTTTCAATAAAATTGATGGAAGATAAAATTCAATTGTCAGCTGAGAGTTTAATAAAAATAATTTTTGATGATAGATCACTGTGTGACTTGACTTCTAACTTGAAAGGTATTAAAGGACTGGCAGAGGGACATCAGCAATTATTTATTTAAGCTGGGCTGGCCCACCTCTGACCGTTCTGAGCACACATTGTTTCTGTGGGTTGAAAAAGGGGGCGGAAGTTCGTCTTTTCCCATCTGCTTGGTTATATGAACCAAGTTTCTGGGAACTTACTTTAAAAAAAAGAATAAAATTGATGCCTAACAATAAGTGCTATTCATCCATTGATACATGAATCCAGAGATACAATTCCAATATCAATTTACTTTGTATGTATGATAATTATTTATCAAATTTGGAATATGTATGTATTGCTCTGATAAATTTTTATAAAATTTTAGATGTTGTGATAGCTCAATGTGGAATAATTTTTTATGGTAAGAAGAAAATTTTAAAATATTTATAGACTTTTTTTGCAGAGTAGCCTATTAGGTAATCAATAATAGACTTTCAAGCATAAAACTATATTATTGGGATAAACGTCTGTTGGGGATATAGAATGGAAATACAACTTCAGAGAGAAACGGGAATAATGTAAAATATCTGATTCTTAAAAAAGAACTTGTTGGTATAT